TTCGCATGATAAAGATTTACAATTTTGATTGGCTAAACCAATATGCATGATCGGGATCATCATTTCCTTATTTGGGAGGTCCCTCCTGTTGCAGCTACGTAATCATTGCCAAAAACTCGAGTCATTTAGCAAGCACAACCGTCGTAATCCACCGGATAACAGCAGCCAAATAATGAACTATTTTACAAATAATTCTCGCTATTGGTTACTTCGCACCCAATAACTATAGATTATCAAAATCGTTAGTCAAATAATGGCAAAAACGTTACAACTGCTCGAAAAAGCTATTTCAGATGAAAACATTAAACATATTGATTATAACGAATTCACAGGCTTTACATATATTGGCTGTGGAGGTTGTGGAGAGGTTTTTAAACGTGAAATGAAAGATGGAAAATCAGTAGTTCTTAAACGTCTTAACTTCGATGCTGATTTAAGTTTAGATGAAAAAATTAAAGATTTTATTAATGAGGTATTATCTTACGTTGAAACCTTAATTACATCCTACTACGAATAATAAAATAATAAATTAGGAATTAAATTCATAATCATAATTAGCTTAAAATACTACGAAAAATTAGTGACATCCAAGAGACCAACCCATACATTATTGCATTTTATGGCGTCACGAAAGGTATACTTTCATATAATTTCTGAGTATTACGGTAAATAATAATCATTTAAACGAAAAATATTTGTCTAATGGGAATTTATAGATAACGACAGACATTATAGTATGATTTTAGAATATGCTGATGGGGGTAATTTACATGAATACTTAGAAAATAAAAAATTACAATGGACAAATAAATTACGTATAGCTACGGAAATAGCATGCGGGCTCTCATTTTTACATGATAATAATATTATTCATAGAGACCTTGTGAGTACTACATTTCATTTGATTTTATATTTATGAATTCACTAATACTCTAGTAATTTAGCACCCGAATAATATCTTAATTCATCAAGAAAAACCAAAAATTGCAGATTTTGGACTATCAAAGCAGATAAATGAGATACCTATGACTTCAAATTCAAATCTTAAGGATCTTGTGAAGGATCCTATGGAGGAACTTAAGGGAGTAGCAGAATACACAGACCCTCAGTGCCTTATGGGCAAAGATAAAAATAAGAAATCTGATGTCTATAGCTTTGGTATAATCCTTTGGGAGATTTCAAGCGGAAAACCACCATTCCAAAACATAAAAAACCAAATAAGCCTCAGTGTTTATCTATGTAGAGGAAAAAGAGAAGATCAAATAGAAGGTACACCATCTCAATATATTAACCTTTACAAAGTATGCTGGCATAACGATCCTGATAAGCGTCCAGAAATAAATTTGACTCACAATATTTTAAGCAAGCTTATTCCTGACGAGAGGCAGATCGAGAAAGGTATAGGTCATGTAAAGGGGGCGCAAAAGAATGACTTGGAAAGTAGTCGAGGAGAGATGTTAGCTCAAATAGGTGAATTAAAAGATCAATACTTTGAAGATCTGTGTGATGAATTTAAAGAAGCCTTAGAGCTATATGTAGAGCCACAAGGGACATGGAGCGTGCCAATTATCAAGATATTAGCTGATAAAAAGGAAATGGATTACGAAAAAAAAGAAGGTGACGTTGAAAAAGTGGTTATTGATTTTTTGACCTCAAAGGATAAACTCACTTCAGATGATAAGCGAATTCTGGAGATTGAAGCCAATAAATTTTTGATTTCAAAAGACAAGGAACCATTAATTAAGGCAGTTAATAGCTTTTTTTTCACAGGAGAATCAATTAACTTTGGAGGATATAAATGTCTTGAATGTAGCAGCTAATCAATTTCTGGCTTTAAAAGATCAAAACGCTTTGAAACTTTTGGAGATGGCGATGAATGAATTCTTAGAGTCATCAAAATATGAATTTGAAAATATATTTAAGAATATAATCCTTAATTTTTTGGGAAGTCCGTTTGTCTTGGAGAATAAACTATCTTTGGAGAGTAAATTGGCTTTAGGACATCAAATAACTGCGGAGGACATAAACGTTTTGGAAAAAGCTTCAAAAAATGAAGATTTTGAAAAAACTGCCAAAGAACTTCTGAATTTAAAAGCTAAAGAAGTTTTGGAAACAGCAGTAAATGACCTCCTAACCTTGAAACGTAAAAGAGTATTGTTGATATTAGGTAGCGGAGGCACGGGTAAATCGACGTTTAACCGTCATCTTGCTCGTCTTCTATGGGAAAAATACCAACTAGACTTGACGCAATCCATTCCTTTATTTATCGCATTAGCACCATTAGAAAAATTTATAAATCAAAATCTGGATTTTATTGCAGCCTACTTACAGGAAAAGGGCAATCTATCCCCAGTTCAAATTAATGAATTACGGAATAGGAAGTTTGTATTTATTTTAGATGGTTATGATGAGATTGCTGAACGTGATCGTCATTGCTATAACAGTAATATGTTCTCTGAATGGAAAAATGCGAAAATTATCATTAGTTGTCGACCAGAATACTTAAATCAAGGCGATGAAGAAATGTTTTGGCCCAAAGAAAATGGAAAAAGAGGGTTCCAAGAACTGACACTTACACCATTTTCGCGGGCTGAAGTAGAACAATATATCAAAAATTATGTTCGTTATTTCAAAAAAAGCAATTCATTGCTATGGGACGCAGACGAATATATACGAAGCATAGACAAGATACCGCAATTAGAAGATCTTGTGTGCAATCCCATTCTATTAAAAATTACCTTAACTGTTTTACCAGGTATTTTCATAGACAGAGAGACAACATCTCAGATAAATCAGATAAATCGTAAAGTTTTGTATGACGAATTTCTTAAAAAATGGTTTGAGCGTGCTCAAAATCGCTTAAACAAAATTCAATTGAAACTTGAAGAACGAAAAGAGTTTGATCATTTAAATAATGATTTTACTGAGCATTGTCTACAATTTGGTAAAGAATTTGCTTTCAAGATGTTTGTAGACAATAATAAAGTAGTTGTTAACCGTAGTCTAGAAAATTTAGAAGATACAAATGTGAAATGTCGCTTGATGCGTTTTAGTATGCCATTAATTCAACGTGGAAATCAATATTGGTTTTTCCATAAATCATTACGAGATTACTTAATCGCTTGTGCATTGCTAGATTCACTTAATGATACGTCACAATTAACTCTCTTTAATAAGCAATCGATTATACCAGAACCTGCAATTCAAACCTTTTTGGTCGAAGGAGTTCAACAAATGCCAGAGTACAAACAACCGATGTTAAATTTTATTGAATATTCTAAAAATAATGCAAATATTCAAATTGCTTCCACTAATGCCATTACAGTCTTAACACGTGCCAAAATACCGCTTTCAATAAATTTAGACAGTATTCGTATTCAAGGGGCGAATTTGAGCTATGCAGATCTTCAAAATGCGAATTTCAAAAATGCAACTCTTCAAGATGCAAATCTTCAAAATGCAAACCTCCAATATGCAAATCTCCAAGGTGCAAACATTCAAAATATAAATTTCCGAAATGCAAATCTCCAATACACAAAATTTGATGCTAACGGAACGTTTTATATTGGAAGTTGTTATTTGTATGGAATTGGAATTGAAAGGGATGAACATAAGGCGTTCAACTATTGCCAACAATCTGCAGAGATGGGACATGCTGGTGGAATACGTAATATTGGATATTGTTACGAATATGGAATTGGAATTGAAAAGGATGAACATAAGGCATTCATTTATTATCAAAAATCTGCAGATATGGAGAATTCTATGGCAATGAATAATGTTGGATGTTGTTATCGGGATGGAATTGGAGTTGAAATGGATGAACGTAAGGCATTTATTTATTTCAAAAAATCAGCAGACATGGGGGACATGGATGGAATGATAAAAGTTGGAGATTGTTATAGAAAAGGAATAGGAGTAGTAAGAGACATACATCGGGCTAATCATTGGTATCGGATGGAAAGAAGTAGAAAAAAGATAAACATAGATGCATTACACGAAGGTTTAGATGATAAATTAAAGAAAATATTAAATAATGAAATGTATAAACTAGTGTGGATTCCTTACAACGAATTTACAAACGTAAAAGAAATTGGAAAAGGTGGATTTGCAACTGTATATTTTGCAATTTGGTTTGATAGAAATGATAAAAATATATATGTACGGAGGGAAGTTGCACTAAAATTAATTCATGATTCAAATAAGTATAATCAAGAATTTATTGACGAGGTAATATTATTTAATTTGTGTTTATTTTTATTTTATTATTTTATTATTTTAAGTCGTTAAGTGATTTAATTATTAAACAGTTAAAAAAGTATAATGAAATTGGATACGAAAATCCATCGTTTTTAAAATGCTACGGAGTATCAAGGGATCCTGTTTCAAGAGACTATATTATAGTTTTGGAGTATGCAATGCGAGGATCTTTGCGTCAAAACCTTTTTAAGGTTGTAAAAATGGAATGGAAAAAAAAGTTAAATCTGCTGCATTGTGTGGCTTCGGATCTTGAATCCATTCATTCC